AAAATTCATATAATTTAGTTATTTTTTTAACTTTCTGTCAATATATTTATAGCTTGGTGCGGTCAAGAAATGTCATGTTTTTTTTATTCATTTGTTTCATCTAATTGAATACTTTGGTAGTTTTATTTCAAAATCTGACGATTAGTTATCATATAAATAATTATTAAACAAAATCATTACATGCATTGGGTGCTCCCTCCATGCAAAATGTATGAACTTTGAATTCATTTTTTGAAGCTTTGAAACGGTCAAAATTAATGAAATTGGTCTCATTCTGTAGATAAATACTTCAGGAATAAGTATGCAAAATTTGAAAAAAATCTGACAAAAACCATTTTACGCGACTAATACCTTAACGACAAAGAAATGTTAATTTTTCAATCTGATATATGTGACAAGAAACCTATTTTCACTGATTTTTCTAATTTCTTTATATCTTCCGAAGAAATTAACGTTTTTTAACATTCATAGACTCATTTGAATCGTATTCAAAGCTGTATCAAAAAAATTCGAAAAATTATGATTACTATTAAGGTACTAAAAAAGATTAAGTAAAATTCGTCATTTCAAAAAAATGTTTAAACTTCGAATAAAGTTTTTAATTAAGTATACACTTAAGGTACACTCTCACCTCACTGCCTGCCTGCCTGCGCAGGCAGGCGCCATAAGAGTGAGAGAGAAAAAACATTTAATTTGAATTTTCTGACTCTCTTACTCTTATGTGTTACCATGTCAACCTGCAGGCAGGCAGGCAGGCAGGCAGTAGGAGCTGTACTAGCGCCTTTAATTTTTAAAAATTAATTTTCAATTGTAAAAGTACCTTTAAAATTTTCCTTTTTTCATTGAGACGCATGATTTTCCCCTAAACGACAAATGGTCGAATGTTCAAATGGTCGAATACCAAGTAGTCGAATCGTTAACTGGTCGAATGCTAAAAACATCGAATGCTAAAAACGTCGAATGTTCAAAATATCGAATCGTCAATTTGTCGAATGATCAAAACGTCGAATTCTCAAATGGTCGAATGCTAAAAACATCGAATCGTCAAATGGTCGAATGCTCAAAACGTCGAATCATCAAAAATTCGAAAAATTTGCTTGGTTTAAGTCAACATTAACTTAAACCAAGCAAATTTTTCGAATTTTTGACGATTCGACGTTTTGAGCATTCGACCATTTGACGATTCGACGTTTTTAGCATTCGACCATTTGAGCATTCGACCTTTTGAGCATTCGACCATTTGACGATTCGATGTTTTTAGCATTCGACCATTTGAAGATTCGACGTTTTTAGCATTCGACCAAATGACGATTCGACGTTTTGAACATTCGACCATTTGACGATTCGACGTTTTTAGCATTCGACCAAATGACGATTCGACGTTTTGAACATTCGATCAATTGATGAGTCGATGTTTTGAACATTCGACGTTTTGACTATTCGATGTTTCTAGCATTCGACCAGTTAACGATTCGACTACTTGGTATTCGACCATTTGAACATTCGACCACTTGGCGTTTAGGGGAAAATCATGCGTCTCTTTTCATTCAACTTTCGCATTTTCTAAAGAAATGTAGATAAATTCTTGTAAAAAATCTCAATTCTATAAAAAAATACGATTCTAATAAGTCCATGAACGTTAGAAAACTTTAATTTCTTCGGACGATTGAATTCTTAAAAATTTTAAGAAAATATCTTCAAGTGTAAATTAAAAATTGAAAATTATCTTCTACAAAGTAATAATTTTAACTGAATTCTACTGTTCTCAAATTTATATTATATATCGAGAAAAAAAATATTTGGCGTGTTCTGTGTGTGTATATAGAAATATTCTATCGAAAAAAATTTAAGAATTGACAGAAGTATTTTTTTTCTTTTAAATAAATTCCAGTCGAAAATACTTTTCGAAAAATTATGAAAATACTTCAGGGAAAAAAGACTTTAAGAAAAAAAAATAATTCCATAAAGTATTTTATTGAATGACAATATGGGTAGAAATTTTAAATCGAATTTTCGAATTTTCAGCTTCTGTCAAAAATTTTTCAATGAATTATCATGTCAATGACCTATGAAATAAGCGTTAAAATGCTATTTAAAGAAAAATTTCCGTGTACTAATGGTATTTATAAATGTCTCGTTATTAGAAAAAAAGAGAATAGAAAATTGCGTTTAAACGTGTAAAATAAAATTCTAACTGTATGAAAATATTGTAAATAAAAAAGTGTACATTTCTAAAAACTTGCTTTATACCATTGCTACATCGAAGTAACTTTAAACATGGTTGCACTTCAGTCCAGTTTTATTTTTTTTTTCCTGTAAAAAGATGTCCCTGAAGTTAGCGTCAATGCTCAGCGTCGAAAACTATTGTTTATGGAGATAAAGAAATGTCACTATTTTCAATTTGGGAAGTAAAAAATCACATTTTTAACCAAAACTCTTTCTTTTTTTTCCGATTTCGTGAAAAAGAAAATTGTTTAGCGTCGACGGTAAATTCAGGGACTTGTAAAAAGACAGTATCTAGCATTTAAAGATTGTTGCTCAAAGTGCAAATATTTATAATATAAAAATAAATAAGGTAACCAAAAAAATAAATAAAAAAACTCTTGTTTTAGATCTTAATTCAGATCCAGGTAATTTAGAACTAGAAAATTTGTAACTCAAAATTTATGTTCCATTCTCAAAAAAGTGAGGAATGTAATTAATTTAATTTAATTAATTAATTTATATTAAAAGTTATTCTAAAGGAGAAGAAAAAATAGATCTATTTGTGAATTTAAAAACTTAGGAATATTGTCTTTAAAACACTGGATTGTTGTACACTATGATTTGAACACTTAAAAAATATTCGTCGCTTAAAATAATTGCCGTTTTACACACGGAAATTATCTGATGTCCCATTAATTAAAAATAATTATCAACCCTTATTAAATTCATGTTCGATAAGATGCAAATATGTACTTCGTATTAGATAATAATGTCACAAAGTTATTTTGACTTAAGAAAGGGGTGTATTCTCCTTTTTCAAAAATACCTGTAGAACAATTGATTTAATTCACTGCCAATTTATCCATTATTGTATCTCACGAGCTTCTTTTGTATCTTTCTTTATATATATAAAATGTTTAAAAACTCGTTATTCTAGTTTTCAATATTGTGAGTTGCGAAACAAAAATTAAGAATTTGTTTAATTTACGAAAGTTACGAAAAGTTCTTTAATTATTATAGTTTTTAATAATATTCAATAAATGTTTTTTCTAAAAAAAAAAATATATATATATATATATATATATATATATATATATAGATACAAACTTGGATAAATTATGTCTTTATCATATTGATAGACTTAATGGCTTAGAAGAATGTTTTTAAGATTATTTTATGCAATAATCTAGATGTTCTAGCCAAGATAAAAAAAGTATATATATTATAATGTTAATGATCTCAGACTTCGAAATTTTTTTTTCAAAAATATGCTTCATGTTTATAAATGGTATTGTGATTGTCTAGTGTTAATCGGCAGCTTATAAATATTTCGGTAAAATGAAAAATTTGTTTTTTTAAATTACTATAGCTTTATAGCAATTTATAACAAGAGAAAAAAAAATGATAAAATATTTACGAAGTCGATAGGAATTTTAGGTAATTAAATATATTGAAGTCAGATATATTTCTCTGCCTGGAAGAAAATCATTAATCGAACAAACAGTGCCTGCAAACGTGGTTTCAATTCAACTAATGAAATCCACCAAGTTTGGCATAAACTTATATTAAAATTGATAAATATTATCAATTTGTATAATACTGCGGGGATTGAGGAATAAAAGTGACGATTCGATGTTTTGAACATTCGGCAACTTTACCATTCTACTACTTGATAATTCGAACAGATGGCGTTTCGACTTTTTGTCCATTTGACTACTTTACCATTCTACTACTTGGCAATTCGATCAGATGACGATTCGACGTTTTGAACATTCGACAACTTTACCATTCTACTACTTGATAATTCGAACAGATGGCGTTTCGACTATTCAAGCATTCGACGAATGGACTATTCGATGGTTTTACCATTCGACTAAATGACGATTCGACGTTTTGAGCATTCGACGTTTTTAGCATTCGACGTTTTAAACATTCGGCGTTTTGAACATTCGACGAATTGAGAATTCGATGTTTTTAGCATTCGATTAACTGAAGATTCGATATTTTTAGCATTCGACTACATGACGATTCGATGTTTTTAGCATTTGACGGATTCGACGTTTTTATCATTCGACGTTTTGAACATTCGACGTATTGACAATTCGATGTTTTTAACATTCGACGAATTGATAATTCGACGTTTTGAACATTCGTCATATTGACGATTCAATATTTTTAACATTCGACGAATTGATAATTCAACGTTTTGAACATTCGACGTATTGACAATTCGATGTTTTTAACATTCGACGAATTGATAATTCGACGTTTTGAACATTCGTCATATTGACGATTCAATATTTTTAACATTCGACGAATTGATAATTCAACGTTTTGAACATTCGACGTATTGACAATTCGATGTTTTAAGCATTCGACTAAATGCCGATTCGATGTTTTTAGCATTCAACGTTTTGTCCATTCGATTACTTGGCATTCGACTATTTGATCATTCGACGACTTGGCGATTAGGGGATATGCATGCGTCTCAATATGATTGGCTCTACAAAAAGCTGCGTGAAAATGTACTTTGTCAGAGCCAATCATATTTAGTAATGTGCATTTCAAGGCCGGGAAAATTCGCTGCTCGCCTAAAAATTTGGAAGTGTGCAAGCGCCTTTAGCCTTGTGTCCTTGTCTATCTCATGCGTCTCGTTCGCGAACGACTTTCGCGAACGTATTGTGCGTTGGACTTAAGTTTTATCCCACATCAAAATGTATTTTAGTGCGCAAGCGCATATCTCCACTTTTCCCAGGGATGGGTAATGAAAACTATTTAAAAAAGCGTAACATTCCCATCACTGCGCTGTAAAAACTAGCAGACGACACAGCCGACTCAAATTTACATGCTTTTTAATTATTTGCGGTTTTAATTTTAGTAACAATGTGTTTTAAGTAAACAAGTATGAAATACTTTTTGTACATAAAAAAACTGATTTTGTATAATAATGTCTTTACAGAAAGTAGATTTACATCGTACAAATGTTCCAAAAAATGCTGTGCTTTTAAGTGAAGATGATGCTATTGATTATCAATGGAAATTATTAAGGAACTGGCCGATAAAATCAGAAGTGTACATTACATTTAAAATTGAATAATTAAGTATAATTTAATTTTTTAACAATTTTGTCTAAATTTCTTTAATCATTTATTTCTGTCATTTATCGACAAGTTTTTTCTTGGTTTTGAGGTTAGAATTTTAGGAATTTTCTTTTAAATTGAAAAAAGATTAATGCAAATAAGTATAAAATAATAAAAATATAAATACATAGTTAATTTATTAATTAATTTTTACTAAGTAATAAGTGGACATTTGTTTTATAAAATAAAATGGCACATTTATTAACAAATATTTTACTTGTTAATTTATTTTAAGGTTAAAATTTTCTAATACAAACAGAAAAAATTCTCTTCATTGCAAAAAATATAAATAATTTATTAATTAACTTTTACTAAAGAAAAATTGGAAATTTGTTTTATAATCAATAAGCAAAAATAGTAAATTCTTCAATTAATGTAAATGCAATTAATATTAATAAATGTAACGCGCGGTATTCAATTTATCTTTATTACTAATTAATTATTATTATTTTTCAAAAATTTTAATAAAATTCTTCCAAAAAATGTAATTATTTTTAAAAAATTTCACTAAAAATCTACGTAAGAATTCAGTTATTTTAAAAATAATTTTAGTCACATTTTTCTAAAGAATTCAATTAATTTTTAAAAATTTGAAGAAAATTCTTCTTAAGAATTGAACTATTTTCATAAATAAAAAACTATGAAGGAATTCAATTATTTTCAGTACAATTTAAAAAAAAAATTTGAAAGAATTCAATTATTTTAAAATATTTTAATATCATAAGTCTTCTCTAGAATTTAATTATTTTCACTAGAATTTAAATAAAAGACATCAAGCATACAACGATTATAATCGTCGTATTCTATTCTCTTATTAATATAGATTACATAATATATAGTGATTATTAAATTAAGTTGTGCGTAAATTTATAGAAATATTTATACAAATCTTTTCTTTTTTAGATGGGCTTTCAAATATGGTATTAGCAGTTTAATAGGTGCAGCTGGTTTTACAGGTTTATATATTGGCAGATACTATAGAAGAAAATTAAAATTACAACATTATGGATATATAACAACATTGTTAAGTACAGTTGTTTCTGCTAGTTTTGGAGCAGGTTTTCTTCACGTGGAGGTATTTATTTATAAAAAATTGATTTTATTCATTTTAAAGTATTTGAATTTAATTTTCTTAAGGGCATTTGAACCTTGATGACGTTACAGTTTGTGCAAAGCATGTGTGACGTCATCAAGGTTCAAATGCCCTTAAGGAGAGGTATTTTTATATACTACATAAGTAATAAAATTCTTCTCAGGAATTCAATTATTTTCAATACAAATTGAAATTTTAATTAAAATTTTTCGCGAGAATTCAATTATTTTTATAAATAAAAAATTCTTCGAAGGAATTCAATTAGATATTCTCTTCACATTTTTATTTTAAAAAAGTTAGGAAACAAATATCTTGAAACTGCGAACAGATTACCAGAATGCAACGATTATTAATATAGATTTTTTTTAAATAATTTAATTCTTCTGGAAAATTTAATTTAATTAGCAGATATTGCAAATCATTAAATTAAGGAGAATTTTTGAACATACTTGAATTTTTGCGAAGAATTTTTTACCTACTTCTAAAACTAATTTAATTTCTGCAATTATTTGTAACTTCTCCAAAAATCAATTTTTTTTAGTGTTTTTAACTAAAATTCTTCTATAAATTCATTATTTTTAATAATGAATTAAATATTTATATGAAAAAATTTAACTAATTTCAGAAGAATTTGAATTATTAAACTTTTTCAAAAATCAAAATTTTTAAAAATTTCTAATTAAATTCATTCAAAATTGAAATTTTATAAAATTTCAATTTTGAAACCTTTTGAAGTTCATCTGTTTATGAAAATTGTAAACGTAATTCAATTAATTTTGAAATATTTAAGTAAAATTGACTTTTCCCTGACCAATTATACTTTTTCTGAATTACCTGACCTGTATGGCAACCTCGATTAAGGGGAGGTTCTCATTGCGGGGGCCAAAATAAACACAAACTTTGACAATTTTTTGCGAGGAACGGCTATGACTTAACGATGTAATTTTTTTTCTAAATAAAGATACATTCTTGAACTTTTAAAATATATATTTCATTTTCAAAAAAATGCAAAATGGCGGCCAATATGGCGCATCTAGAAAATAATGTTTTTTTAAATAGGGAAAACGGTGGGCATTCTACACTGCGCAATTTTTAGTCTAAAACAAAAACTCAAAATTTTTTATAAAGGTGACATCCTAAAGAATAGGTTATACCTATAAAATAGTTAAAAAGTTAATAAAATGACAAAATGGCGGACACATTTTTAAAAAAACTGCGTTTTCGCATTATTTTTCCATATTTGACCTCTTGTAAAAATCTCTATTGTTAACCATTTTATCATATTATAGGTATAACCCCAGTAGAATTTAGTTACCTTTAATTATCCGCAAACCCGATGTTGATTGATTAAATAGTTTAGACGCTACGATGCCCACCAGTTTGAAAAATCTTGTTTCGAGAAAAACGCGTTTAAGGTTTGAGAAACATTTTTGTGCAATAATTATATTCTTTGCAATTCTTTGTTCAATTTGCGTATATGATAAATATCTATAGGTATTTAGGGTCGCTCTTTACGATTCTGAGGTCAGATTTGCAAAATTTTTAAAAATTGATTCGATTTGCCTGACATTTGTTACTCAGTGCTCGGGACGGCGGTGAGTTCAAAACTTCATAAAAACGAAAATATTCTTCGAAACAAAAAATCGCTATACACACATATTCTACATATATATATATATAGCTTTAAAAAAATACAATAAAAAAGAAATCAATTTTTTTGACTCTCGCAATGGGAACCTCCCTCCCCTTAAATATAGAATTAAAAAATTGTGTAAAAAAAAGTTTTAATTTTAATTAATATTATAAATTCTATTTTTTTGCATGTTTATAAAGTTAGCGTTGACGCTCAGCGTTGAAAACTATTTCAGAGATGAAACTTTCACTAGTTTCACTTCTTCCATTAACCTATGGAGCTAAAAAAACGATCATGACACTTTTTTTAATCTAAAACGTTTGATTGTTTTATTCTCTTTAGTGAAAACAAAAATTGTTTTTGACCCCTATTGTCGACGCTAACTAATGAGACTATTTTTCGCAATCTATTAAAAAATCCAAGTAGAAAAAAAATTTTAAATAAAATTTGATTTGAATATTTAAAGTAACAATAATTTTTCTGTAAAAATTATTTTTAGTTTGTCATGTCAGATGTTCTACTTGAAAAAACTCCGTGTCCTGTTTGTGTACAAACGAGAGCATCTTTACTGCAAATCTCATCAGGAGTAATTTATCCTCTAATTATATCTCCCATTCTTTCTGCAATGGTGAGCATTTTTATTTTTCATTTTTCTCAGTGCAATCGTACACGGAGAAAAAAGGATATTTAAATTTACCCTGAGGATTGTAAAACTTGACAAATTTTCAGTGTCAACTATAGGACAACACTCTGTTGTTTATAAATTACTATTTATATAGTGTAAAATAAACGTAATTAGTTTTACACTCCAGGAATGTGTAGTACTTTATTTTGTCTGTTTAATTAGATTTTTAAAAATAAACTTTTATTTGTAAAAAATTTATTTAAACAATTAAAAATATTTAACTTAGATAATAAAAATTTTAAATCGCAGAACATTTTTGATTTTTTTAATTAGTTTTTAACTTTTCAGTCAATAAAAGAGTTTCAGAATTCATTTAGTCTTTTTAGTAATAATTCTTTAAAAAAAAATTTTTGTTGAAAAGAAAAATAATTAAAATATTGAACATTTTAATTAATTTAAATTTTGTTTCAATAGAGATTATTATTTTATAACATCCACAGAAATAAATCACAAATAAACAATAACCCATATTTTTAAACGTCAAAATTTATTTATTGATGTTCATTTTTTAGCTGCATTTGCGGTTAGTTACTTCAACTAAAAAACTGGTTAGTTTAAATTTCCTGGAGTGTAAAACAAATAATAAAATATGTGTAACTTTTACGAAGGAAAAAATATAGTAAAGTGTAAGTAATATTATGAAGAAGATTAGAATGACTAAATAAATTTTTAACATTCGAAATTTAACACTCCAGTTTTCTGCGTGTAAATTTTTATATTAAAGAAAATCATTTTCTTGTATTCAGATAGCAGTAAGAATTGGAGTAAGAATGCCCTACTATACAGAATGGCGAGAACTTGCGAAACTGTGGTCAAAAGTAACTAAACCATTGGCTGGTCGGATTCTTCTTCTAATTGCTTTTCATGGTTTAATGGCTACCGGTGTAACATATTACGAAGCCCAACAAGTGTATAATATACAAGAAAAACTGTTAATTGCCGAAAAAGATTCTCCAAATAGAAACAAATAATTTATAATAGTTTTAATAAAGTTGTTTTTATGTACATTTAAACTAGTATAATTTCACGCGCGTGAAATTTTACCTGCCGTTGTTAGTTTAAAAATGTTCTTTTTGAAATTTAATGCAAATTCTTTATTTTTTAAAAACTTTCATTTTTCGAATAGTTTTTTTTAAATTTAAAAAAAATTAAGAATTATTTGAATAATTAACTCAAATTTTTGACATAACAATTCGAACTATAAAACAATTTGGAATCAAAAAACACTAACTTTACGTGAGGACAGTATATTTCGATTATTATTATATAATATAATAATAATTGCAGGGCTCGAACCAGTGAAAGTATTTAAAAATATGGACTATACGGACCAAAAGTTAAAAATTACGGACAAAAATATAACAAGTCCGAGTCAAATTCTTCAATTAAATATATATTAGAAAATAAAAACTTGAAATAATTTCAAAACAAATTCAAATAAACTTTTTCAAAAAAATTAATTCTAAAAAATTGTTAGTTAAAAGCATAAGAAATTCAAATTTTTGAAGATTTTATTCTAAAACCTTTTTAAAATTCACTTTTTTCTAAAAATTCAAGCCATAATGCTTTCAATATTTAATTATTAGGTATATCTAAAATTTTAACTGAAATTCATTTTTAAATCAATTTTTCTTAGAAAATTCTACGCGAGTTCAATTATTTAAATATACAAAAATAAATAATTTGTAGAAAAACAGATTATTTTTTAAAATTTAATTCTCATAAAGAATTTTATCAAAAAATTTCTACATAAAATTGAATAATTGAATTCTATCCAAAAATTTTAAGAATAATTACATATTTCGGGGAATTCGATTAAAATTCTATTAAAAATAATTTAAATTTTACGATGAGTGTTATTATTTATGAAAATAATTGAAATATTGAGAAGAAATTTATAAAAAATTTGTAAATAATTTAATTCCTGTGAAATTTTTATTATTCATAAAAATAATTAAATGCTTGTGTAGAATTTTATTTAATTTTTTTTTACATAATTGAATCCTTTTGGAAAATTTTAAAAAATAATTAATATTTTGCCAAGAATTTTATTAAAATGTTTGAAAATAATTTAATTTTGGGGAAGAATTTTATTATTTTTAAAGATAATTGAATTTTAGACTAAAATTTTCTTAAATTTTTGAACATAATTGAATTTCTGCGAAGAATTTTATTATATTTGAAAATAATTGAATTTATGCAATTATTTGTAACTTTTCCGAAATAAAACTTTTTTTTGTCTTTTTTAACTTAAATTCTTCCATTAATCCATTATTCTTAATAATTATTTAAATATATATTACAAAAATTAACTAATTTCAGAAGAATTTGAATTATTAAAATTTTTCAAAAATTTGAGTTCTTTAAAATTTCTACTTAAATTCATTCAAAATTCAATTATTTTTAATAATTAAATATATATTGTAAAAAAATTTAACTAATTTTAAAAGAATTATAATTAAAATTTTTCAAAAAATTAGTTCTACAGAATTTTTAATTAGAAAGAATTTAAAATTTAGATTTTCAAAGATTTTAATTTGAAACCTTTTCAAAATTCAATTATCTCTAAAAATTCACGGTATAATGCTTTTATTAGGTAATATTTAATTATTATGTAACATTGTAACTGAAATTCATTTTAAGATCAATTTTATTATAAAATTCTACGGGAATTCAATTATTTGAATACAAAAATAAATAATTTATTGAATATGTAATTGAATGTTTCTTAAAATTGTAGGATTAAAAATAATTGAAATTCTACAATGAGTTGTATTATTTATGAAAGTAATGGAATTATTGCGAAGAAATTTAAAAAAAATTTATAAATAATTGAATTTCTTTGAAATTTTTATTACCTATTTATGGAAATAATTAAATGCTTGATTAGAATTTTATTAAAATTTTTTTTTGTATAATTAAATTTTTTTGAAAAATATTATCAAAATAATGGTAAATATTGAAAATAATTGAATTAGGGAAAATTTTTAAAAATAATTGAAATTTTTCGAAAAAGTTTATTAAAATTTTTTAAAATACTACCCGAATTTTGGAGAAGATTTTTATTATTTATAAAGATAATTGAAATTATGACGAGAGTTTCTTAAAATTTTTGAACATAATTAAATTTCTGAGAAGAATTTTATTACTTTTCGAAATAAATGATATTATGACCAGAATTTTTTAAAATTTATGAAACTAATTGAATTTCGGAGTAGATTTAATAATCTACTTATTATTTACAAAATAATTAAAATTTTCTAAAATTTATGAAAATGATCGAATGTTGGAGAAGAGTTTTATTATTTATAAAGATAGTTGCAATTTTTACAAGAATTTTCTTAAAATTTTGAACATAATTGAATTTTTGCGAAGGATTTTATTACTTTTGCAAATAATTGAATTTCTGCAATCATTTGTAACTTCTCCAAATTATATCGTACAATTTACGAACTTTTCGTACTTTTTCAAATAAATTACGGATTTTACGGACGTTTTTTCAAAAAAAGTGACTTTTACGGACTTCAAGGAAATTTAAGAACATTTACGAGATTTACGGACCTAGTTCAAGCCCTGTAAGTAAATTAATCTTTAACAAAAAAAAACTTAAAATTATTCTAAAGTAAAAAGAATTAAAGCGAAAAAGTAAATACTGAAAGTAAAAAATAGTTATTGGGAAAAGTTATAGCTTTTTCTTTAAAAAAAAAAGGAATTTTTTTGTAGGATAAAGACAAACAAGTAATTTTAATTGCAATATAAAGTTCACTTTTATTCCTCAATCCCCGCAGTATTATACAAATTGATAATATTTATCAATTTTAATATAAGTTTATGCCAAACTTGGTGGATTTCATTAGTTGAATTGAAACCACGTTTGCAGGCACTGTTTGTTCGATTAATGATTTTCTTCCAGGCAGAGAAATATATCTGACTTCAATATATTTAATTACCTAAAATTCCTATCGACTTCGTAAATATTTTATCATTTTTTTTTCTCTTGTTATAAATTGCTATAAAGCTATAGTAATTTAAAAAAACAAATTTTTCATTTTACCGAAATATTTATAAGCTGCCGATTAACACTAGACAATCACAATACCATTTATAAACATGAAGCATATTTTTGAAAAAAAAATTTCGAAGTCTGAGATCATTAACATTATAATATATATACTTTTTTTATCTTGGCTAGAACATCTAGATTATTGCATAAAATAATCTTAAAAACATTCTTCTAAGCCATTAAGTCTATCAATATGATAAAGACATAATTTATCCAAGTTTGTATCTATATATATATATATATATATATATATTTTTTTTTTTAGAAAAAACATTTATTGAATATTATTAAAAACTATAATAATTAAAGAACTTTTCGTAACTTTCGTAAATTAAACAAATTCTTAATTTTTGTTTCGCAACTCACAATATTGAAAACTAGAATAACGAGTTTTTAAACATTTTATATATATAAAGAAAGATACAAAAGAAGCTCGTGAGATACAATAATGGATAAATTGGCAGTGAATTAAATCAATTGTTCTACAGGTATTTTTGAAAAAGGAGAATACACCCCTTTCTTAAGTCAAAATAACTTTGTGACATTATTATCTAATACGAAGTACATATTTGCATCTTATCGAACATGAATTTAATAAGGGTTGATAATTATTTTTAATTAATGGGACATCAGATAATTTCCGTGTGTAAAACGGCAATTATTTTAAGCGACGAATATTTTTTAAGTGTTCAAATCATAGTGTACAACAATCCAGTGTTTTAAAGACAATATTCCTAAGTTTTTAAATTCACAAATAGATCTATTTTTTCTTCTCCTTTAGAATAACTTTTAATATAAATTAATTAATTAAATTAAATTAATTACATTCCTCACTTTTTTGAGAATGGAACATAAATTTTGAGTTACAAATTTTCTAGTTCTAAATTACCTGGATCTGAATTAAGATCTAAAACAAGAGTTTTTTTATTTATTTTTTTGGTTACCTTATTTATTTTTATATTATAAATATTTGCACTTTGAGCAACAATCTTTAAATGCTAGATACTGTCTTTTTACAAGTCCCTGAATTTACCGTCGACGCTAAACAATTTTCTTTTTCACGAAATCGGAAAAAAAAGAAAGAGTTTTGGTTAAAAATGTGATTTTTTACTTCCCAAATTGAAAATAGTGACATTTCTTTATCTCCATAAACAATAGTTTTCGACGCTGAGCATTGACGCTAACTTCAGGGACATCTTTTTACAGGAAAAAAAAAATAAAACTGGACTGAAGTGCAACCATGTTTAAAGTTACTTCGATGTAGCAATGGTATAAAGCAAGTTTTTAGAAATGTACACTTTTTTATTTACAATATTTTCATACAGTTAGAATTTTATTTTACACGTTTAAACGCAATTTTCTATTCTCTTTTTTTCTAATAACGAGACATTTATAAATACCATTAGTACACGGAAATTTTTCTTTAAATAGCATTTTAACGCTTATTTCATAGGTCATTGACATGATAATTCATTGAAAAATTTTTGACAGAAGCTGAAAATTCGAAAATTCGATTTAAAATTTCTACCCATATTGTCATTCAATAAAATACTTTATGGAATTATTTTTTTTTCTTAAAGTCTTTTTTCCCTGAAGTATTTTCATAATTTTTCGAAAAGTATTTTCGACTGGAATTTATTTAAAAGAAAAAAAATACTTCTGTCAATTCTTAAATTTTTTTCGATAGAATATTTCTATATACACACACAGAACACGCCAAATATTTTTTTTCTCGATATATAATATAAATTTGAGAACAGTAGAATTCAGTTAAAATTATTACTTTGTAGAAGATAATTTTCAATTTTTAATTTACACTTGAAGATATTTTCTTAAAATTTTTAAGAATTCAATCGTCCGAAGAAATTAAAGTTTTCTAACGTTCATGGACTTATTAGAATCGTATTTTTTTATAGAATTGAGATTTTTTACAAGAATTTATCTACATTTCTTTAGAAAATGCGAAAGTTGAATGAAAAAAGGAAAATTTTAAAGGTACTTTTACAATTGAAAATTAATTTTTAAAAATTAAAGGCGCTAGTACAGCTCCTACTGCCTGCCTGCCTGCCTGCCTGCAGGTTGACATGGTAACACATAAGAGTAAGAGAGTCAGAAAATTCAAATTAAATGTTTTTTCTCTCTCACTCTTATGGCGCCTGCCTGCGCAGGCAGGCAGGCAGTGAGGTGAGAGTGTACCTTAAGTGTATACTTAATTAAAAACTTTATTCGAAGTTTAAACATTTTTTTGAAATGACGAATTTTACTTAATCTTTTTTAGTACCTTAATAGTAATCATAATTTTTCGAATTTTTTTGATACAGCTTTGAATACGATTCAAATGAGTCTATGAATGTTAAAAAACGTTAATTTCTTCGGAAGATATAAAGAAATTAGAAAAATCAGTGAAAATAGGTTTCTTGTCACATATATCAGATTGAAAAATTAACATTTCTTTGTCGTTAAGGTATTAGTCGCGTAAAATGGTTTTTGTCAGATTTTTTTCAAATTTTGCATACTTATTCCTGAAGTATTTATCTACAGAATGAGACCAATTTCATTAATTTTGACCGTTTCAAAGCTTCAAAAAATGAATTCAAAGTTCATACATTTTGCATGGAGGGAGCACCCAATGCATGTAATGATTTTGTTTAATAATTATTTATATGATAACTAATCGTCAGATTTTGAAATAAAACTACCAAAGTATTCAATTAGATGAAACAAATGAATAAAAAAAACATGACATTTCTTGACCGCACCAAGCTATAAATATATTGACAGAAAGTTAAAAAAATAACTAAATTATATGAATTTTCATACGAACGAATAGAGTGGGGAGTTAAACTGTCTCTCTCACTCTCACTGCCCCACTCTAGTAAGCGGCCCGGTAAACTTTTGACCAGAGCCAGCTGCGCGACTAATACCTTAAATTGTCTTTTCTCAAAATTTTATCAGTTTTTTAAAAAAAGAAAAATTTTTAAATATTTTTTTCAAGTTTATAATTATTTAATAGTCATAAAAAAGTAGGGGTCGCACAATTACCGCGCAAGTAGTGTAATAAATGTGCATTCAACTAGCAAAATCTACATTTATCAGAAAGAAAAATAAAAAGACTGATATCCCGTAATTAAGTCGTAAAATTAATATTACGATGCGATTAAATAAATTTCTAATTATTTTTTGTTTATTACGAAAATTACTATTTGTTTTATGGTATTCAAAAATTCCCCTTTAGAAGTCTTCCTTCAAATAAGAATTTTTACGTCGTTTCAAATATAGTTTTAAATTATCGTCACTCATTAAAGTGATTTGAAATTTGTGAGAAAAAATTGAGTCGAAGATTATAATATTGAAGGATTTCTTGAAAGAATTAATTGTATACGTTAATTGTGAAGGCTGAAAAACATATAAAATAAAGTAGGCACCACTTTAAACAATGAAAAATAAGCAAAATGATCCGTTTCCAGTGTTATTTTCGTTTGCGCACCTCACGTTCAGTCGTATCCTGATTTGAGAGTCGATTGACTCGAGGATGGAGGTGAGGTTGAAGATATGAGGGTCCAGGACGATCCCACCAAAATGGCGGACAATCCGGTCTGGGCATAGGAAGTGGTTGGATAAAAGAGGAATGATTCGGTGGAATCATAACGAGATTATTATGATGATGAGAAGGAGGATGATTATTGGTCATGAAAACATTGCGGTGTGTTGCATTGAACAAGGATTGAGGATTGATTGAAACAGAATTATTGTAACGAACTGTCATTGATGGTGAATTAATCAGGGTCGCGGGACCTTGGAATTGATCCCAAGCCATCTGCTAGCATCTTCGACTCTGCCAATGATGCATATACTCTTGATAACTCACTGTCACTTTTTCACTCTGATAACGTGTTACTTTAACATTTCGTCTCATGTCCTGAGTTACAGAACCTTTAAAGCCTCCTTTGTGCAATAGAGAGTCTATTGTTTGCGTCTGATCCCAACCTAAAACAATATTCCATTCAAATTAAATACAAATCTCGGATGGACTCTAAAACGCAAAAAAAGTCACATTAGTCGATTGAAAATACTAAAAAAATAGTCGAAAAATTCGTTGTTCCAAAGGTGTTATTGTATTGTTACTTTTTTAAAATTTAATTATTTATAATAATTGTAACTGTAAATTTCAGGACTTTTTTATCTCTAAAAATGTGGAAATTAAGATTTTCTAAAATTTTTGCTTTAAATCCATTCAAAAATACAATTAATTATAAAAATTACAAAAGCAAATCTTTTAAAATTCACTTCAGTTAAGTTCAGAACGTTTATGATCAATGATTAAAAGAAAAAAAAATTTCAATCAGAAAATCATAAATATTTTCAGGTCTCGGATCGACTGTAAGACGCGAAAAATGTCGCTTTAGCCACTTAAAAATAGAAAAAAAGTCGATTATTTAATTTAGCGTTGTCACAAAAACTTTATTTTGTATTTCCTCGATTAATTTTGTTAAATAAATATTTAAATACTACGCATTTGTTTTTACACGGGAAATAAAATTTATAAAATTTCAGTTTAAAACCTCCTGAAATTAATTAATTTCTAAAAGTTACAATTATAGCCCTTCCAAAATTCAATTATTTTCTACAATCTAAATCGTAGATTATAAACGTTGTGAATTTCACGAACGAACGAACTTTTTTTTAATAAATAAAACTCTATGCAACCGAAAATAAAAAAATAATAAAGTTTTCAAAAACTTTACATTCTTTTAATATAATTAAAAAACTTTTAAAAAATTGTTTAATAAAATTTTTTGAAAATAATTTAATTAATTGAAACACATGATTAAAAGAATTAGTTTTTTTTAAGATATTGTAAGTAGGGGATAGGTGTACGAGATGATCCCCCTAAGGGAGAATGACCATTATTCAAAGAAAAATCAACATTTTTGAGTTTGTTTTGTACGAACTAGTAGATAATTAATACATCTAACTTTTCTAATTAGAAATGTATGCAGCTGATTAATATTTTACTATTAAATTTAATTTTTCTAAAACCTTACAAAATGATCATCTTGGACACCGGGGTGTCCAAGATGATCCCCCTGGTATGGGCAAGATGATCCGTAGGTTTATCTTACCCCAATTATTGGAAAAGGAGACTAAATTGAAGAAATAACGTACATCAATATTAAATATGCTTTATTTAGGTTATAAATGCCTTTGAACATTTACCAAGATTCATTTTTCTATTTTATAATTACGAGGCATTGTCTACAACAAGAAAATTAATAAAATAGATGTAGATTTCAACTTTTTGTTTAAAATAAATTAGTTTTGATAATAAAAACATATAAGAAGCGAGAAAAATTGAATGTTTTATTAATTCTAGAAAATTCACTTTGAGATGAGACGAAATACATGGGAATCAGGGGGGATCATCTTGTACACCCATTGAGGGATCATCTTGCCCCAAATGCCTCTATTTTGTAATTTGTTTGTAACTCAACCTACGAGCTCTGTTATTCCATAATACCAATCAGAACACTTAATTGAAGATATACTGAAGCCGTGAGTACAAGAAACATGGAATTTCAGCTATTACAACAAAAGTTATCTAAGTACAAAGTTAAGCTTTCCTTAGATCAAAAGTATGAAATTTTTATTTTTTACAATAGAATTTTTTTAATGACGCGTGTTGTCATGACAGTTTGACTGATTCATAGGTATGTCATTGGCAACGTATTACCGTATTTGCCTAAAAAGTGGCGCTAAAGGTACACTCTCACCTCACTGCCTGCCTGCCTGCGCAGGCAGGCGCCATAAGAGTGGGAGAGAAAAAACATTTAATTTGAATTTTCTGACTCTCTTACTCTTATGTGTTACCATGTCAACCTGCAGGCAGGCAGGCAGGCAGTAGGAGCTGTGCTAGCGTCTTTATAGGCTCTCCAAAATTCAAAAGGATCATCTTGCCCCAGGGGATCATCTCGTACACCTTTCCCCTAATATAAATTTTCGAAACTAATTAAATTTATTTAAAAGGATTTTAATTTATTAATTAAAAGAATTTATGGACAATTTTGAAAATTAATCAATTGTTTGAAGAATTTTAATTAAACTTTAATGAATCAAATTTTGAAAATGATTGTTTTCTCCAGAATTTTAATAATTTTGAAATTATTATTCGCAGATATTTGAATTTTTACAGGGTGGTCACAAGTTTCAGTTTATCAATTTCCCTGATAATTTACTGACATTAAAATTATCTTCCCTAACAAAATTTTTTTACAGGAAAATATGAAAGTTTACGGAATATAAGTAAAATTATTCATTAAATAATTAATAAGTAATAATTTTATGATAGTTCTTCAAGAATTAAGTTATTTAACAAGAAATTATTGTCATAAATAGAAAAAATTGAAGGTTTTGTATTAGTATTCGTGGTAATTTCATAGTTTATAGGGCAAACAAAAAAGACTCAAAAATTCAGAATTTTCTTATGAATTCCAAAAATTTAATTTTTTCCAGTACTTTTAAATTTTAATAAAAATCCTTGACCTGTGGCAACCCTGCATTTGTTGTATTCATTACCAAGAAAAACAGGGTTGCCACAAATATTTAATTTTATTTTTCCCTGATTTCCAGACAAAATTTTGACTTTTTCCCTGACTCATCTCTAAAGAATATTCTGATTCACTCTCAAAATTATTAGATACTTAAAAAAAATATTCTATTACATTTACTTACGAATTTCTTAAATTGTAAAATTATTCGCAAACATCAATAACTAAATTTTTAAATAAGAGTTTAATTATTATTTTTCCATAGGAATTAAAATTCTTCAAAACATTCAAATTCAAACATTTTTAAAATTAAACAACTTATGAGCATATTATTATGAAACACGAAGATATCAATTACTCCGAGTCGAAGACTCGGAGTATGTTTTTTAATAAAAATTTTAATTTCCATAAAATTTTTCAAAAAAAAGTAAATTATTTACAAAAATTATAATATAATTCGTTGCAAGAATTCAATTATTTTCATAAATAATAAAATTCTTCACATGGTTTCAATTATTTTTAATAGAATTTTAAATAAATTTCTTGAAAAATGAAATTATCTTCAAAAATTTTTTGCACGAATTAAATTAGGTACATTTCACAAATAATTAAATTCTTCGATGAAATTCAAAAATTTGCAATTTTAATTCAAGTTTTCAAAAGAATATAATTATTTAAATAAAATGTAATAAAATTCGTTGCATAAATTCAATTATTTTTACAAGTAATAAAAGGGCTTCCGGTACCGTTATAGTAAAGACGCGTGCTAAATAAATTCGGAGTTTTTCTTAAATTTCAAGGGTTCTAGTTGCAGTGAGTGTTTTCTGCGGGTGAATCAGAGTGCGGTGAAGTTGATAGTGTGCACTCTAAATCTGAATCAGTGAAAATTTCACTGATTTCAATTCAGTGACCCAGTTTTCTTTGATGAATCAGTGGAATTTCACTGACAATCAGTGGTTTTTACTGATTCTCAGTGAAATCCCACTGATGAATTAAAGAAAACTGGGCCACTGAATTGAAATCAGTGAAATTTTCACTGATTCAGATTTAGAGTGTGAGTGAGATATAGAGCAAGTTGGTGTAGAGGTGTGTGTGTACGGTAAAAAAGAGAAAAAAGTCAGTTGAGTGCATAGAGGTTAGGTGAGAGGGGAGTGAGAGAGAGAAGATTGCTCGGCAGTGAGAGACAAGGAGAGAGTGGGTCGATAAGTCAGGGAGAATGACGTGCAGGTCTCCTAAGTTGTCCGATAGGGGGATGCATGTGGCCTTTGTTGTAACATGTCCCTATTTTTATCACATGAGCGCATGCGCGAAACAATCAACAATTTCTTGCGACTGATAAAATTTGTCGAGGGAAAATTTGATAATATGAACGCTTAATACTTAGATTTAATCATTACATCTATCTCGACGCTTTTCAAACTACAGTTGTTTTCTTTACTTAGTCGGGAAAAACCCAAAGGAGAATAGCACGTAGGAGGTAATGCGTAAAGCAATATTCCTTGTCCTAATCCCTCGAAACGAAATTTTATTGCTCGACATCTGTACATCAGCTTCAAAATTTCTTAAGCTTAACCCAGCAATAAAAAATACAATATAGAATAACTAAGAAAAACACATCCACATGGTCTGAACTTTGAAGAAGAATATAAAAAGTATTGTTATAGTTACTCTTTTAAATTTAATTTTAACCATTCCAAAAAAAATGTTTTGCAAAGATTTTATGAGTAAGGGTATTTGGGTCTAAAAACCTTTCTAGAATTTATGAATTTTAATAATCCGGAGTAAAACGTTTTCCTTTTGTTGAATTTAAAATAGAAAAAGATAAAAGATTGCTCACTGCACAACCCATATGTGACGATCCTGACACTAAACAGGAGCGTATCTTTACAAATTATGCGGCATAATTCAAATTCAAATTCGCGAACGATTAAAATATAATTATCAAAATTATATTAACATAGCGAAATTTATTGTTTAACTGAAAGTTTATTTAACTATTAGCAAATGCCACAAAGGACAAATCAACAAAAGAAATGTTGAGTAACATTTTAATTTAGAATTATCATAACGAAAATATGGTTGAAATTTGAGATGTATTATTGTAAATTATTATTTTGTAAGAATTGACTAAAATAATTTCTTTACTTTATTAATATACTCTATCGTCAATATAGCAAAAGTTATCATCTATGTGTATGTGTGTGTGTGTATATGTACGTATATGTGTGTATGCATGTATATATATATATATATATATATATATATATATATATATATATATATATATATATATATATATATATATATATGTACATATATGTATAATTAATTTTATTAATTATCTTATTTAATGATTATAATAATTTTCTTTCTTATATATTAAATTAACTTTTTTTAAACTTCACAAAATTAAAACCTATCAGCACTCAGAAATAAGGGCGG